ATCTATCTATCTATCTATCTATCTATCTATCTATCTATCTATCTATCTATCTATCTATCTATCTATCTATCTAATTTCGTGTATTTTATACTGCATTGGAAAAACAAGAAAATCCAGCCAAATTACTGAGACTAAAGCTTGGAAATGCAATGGTTTTTACACTTAAATAATCTCAACAGAGAAAAATTCTGATGGAAAAAATGTTGTTGCAGACACACTGTTGGAACTTTTTGGTCTTTTTCAATAGTACATTATAAACTAAATAATTTATTAAATTTAGGAATTGATCCAGGTGAAAAATCCACAGAACATGGGAGAAAATGCACTTCCACCCTTTGACCTGAGGGGTGCAGCAGCTCACCGCCGTTCAATCTGATCTGCCTCAAACACAAAAAAGAAAAAGAAACCTCGTTTCCGTTATGGCTGCCAGCAGATTAGCGTGTTTTGGGTTGAATACCCTTTATTCTACTATTTGTGCACCTAAACAGGTACTTTAGATTTATACGTTGTTCCTGTGCTTCTGTTGTAGCGGCTTACCTGACGCAAAAACTGTAAATGTCTGAGCGACGCATTGAGTAATGTTAGCTTTGAAGCTAATTTTACCCCTAGCTCACCGACCTTGAATCCTAAACAGAAATGTCACATTTATCGTCTGGTATTTTATATGATCTTTCATCAACTAAACGCAGTTTTAACACATATCAAGCTTATATTTTGGACATAACGAAATAGTGACACGTATAGGCATAGCAGGCTTCTCGTCAGTCAGCATCAAACCTCAAATCATAAACACAGCCGCCATGTTTTTTTCAAATTAGCTTAAAATTATTTAAAGTTAAATTTTCTTTATTTTTTGTAGGCTTTTTCACTGTAAAAATGGGTTGAACTTGTTATACTTTTAGATAACACAGGAGTTTGTACAGAAAAGTTGGTCTTACAGAAAATCTATGATTAAGGGTTGGCCAATAACTTCTAAGTTGCATGCATACTTTACTCTCAATTATATAGTATATACAAGTTCAATTAAAACGTACTTTCTGCAAAGTTCTTTTTTTAATGTAATCACAGCTACGCAAGAATAATTTCTCTTAATGTTTGGAACTTTAGATGAAATTGAACTRTTAACTCTATATATAATGTGGTCAGCAGACAGTAACTAGTTCTGATTTTGAGCAGGCACTGAGGAGCTGCTGGGGAGCAGTGGAGCAAGTGAGAGGTTACTATGTTGACTGGAGGATGCTAAGGGATGTCAAGAGAAGGCAGATGGCATTTGACTAYGCAGATCAGAGGTTACGGATTAATGCACTCAGGAAGAACACCATCCTTCCCAAAAATCTTCAGGTAGGGTGCAATGTTTTTTGTTCAAATGAAATATAAGAGCTGATGAGTGGTCTGTAATAACTGATTTAGTTTATTTAATTGCAAACAAGTTCATCTTTTAAAAATCATTTTATCATTGTTTGCAGGCGATAGCAGACAAAGAGATTGCAGCACTGCCCAGAGACAGTTGTCCTGTGAGGATACGGAACAGGTGTGTGATGACTTCCCGACCTCGAGGAGTGAAGAAGAGATGGAGGTTGAGCCGTATCGTCTTCCGGCACTTAGCTGACCACAATCAGCTATCTGGGATCCTGAGGGCCAGGTGGTGACCTTGTTGGATACCATCAGACTGCCTCCTGGCAGGATGTTGAACTGGTCGTAAGCAGTAGGCCAAAACATCAGCGTTTCAGTCTTCTGGATGTTTATGCGTTGTCCAGTTTATTTTTATTTTTTATTTTTTCCTTGTTGCAAATAAAAAGAAAGCAAATAAAATGTCAATGATCCCAGAAGTGCAACTGTCAATCTCACCCACTGTGCACAGAAATAATTAACAAATATTGCTTCTTTTTTTTTGTCAAGTCAACAATTTTTCCAACAGAACATATTTACTTGTTAAATCAAAATAAGTTAAGTAGTTGTAGCCACTTATAGCTACGTTTTGTGTCATGTATTTTGGCATTAGTTTGATTTAATTGCCTGTTAGGGATTGTGTGCTTTATGACAACAGTATAACTTTTGTTCTTGTGATCGAAAAGAAGAGGCTATAAAAACAATGCATCCATGCACACAACATGTTTGTAGTGGCAATTTTCTTTCAAGTTCAGTTATTTTAAAGGCCAATGTAGTTTGTTTTCACTGGAGGCAAAATAAGTCCATTGTCCAAAACCATGCAGAATTTTTTTTCTTTAATGATTTAATCCAAAAAACTTTACCTTTTCTGCTCTGGTTAAAAAAATAAAAATAAAATATACAGTATGTCCACTCTATTGCATGCTGGTCCTATACCATGTCATATGTTTTTTAAGTCAATTATTCATCTCATATAAAAATAACAATTTTATACACAATAAAGAAAAAAATCACACTTGAAAGGAGGCAGAAAG